TTTTTTTTTTCCGGAGAAAAACGAAACGCTCGGTGAGAAAGGAGAAAGTGTGCGAGAGAAAGAGAGAGAGAGAGAGAGAGAGAGATACGTAAAGGGAAAAGAATAGAGAGCGAAACAAGCGTGAAAAGAGGCGAAAAGAAAAATATAAAAAAACACACACACACACACACAGTGCGAAGATATACGCGGCGGGCCGCCGCCGACGTGTTGTTGAGACGCCCGCCCCACCCCCCTTATGCCCCCCGTAGTACAGTCGACGCCGAGAGAATTATTATCGGTGCAGGAGAGAGATAAGGCATAGAGAGAGAGAGAGAGAGAGAGAGAGAGAGAGAGAATAAAAAAAAGAAGAAGAGGAATAAAACGGTCAATCGCGCGAGAAATAAAAAAAAAATAAAACGCAGCAGCAACAAGAACAACAAATCTAGTGAACACTACACGCTTAATGTAACAATCCACGTAAATACATGATACATACACACACACATATGCGTTTTTGAAACACGGAAATATGCATAAGCAGGTTGAACATAGTTGAAATGAGCGAAAAGTAAAAGGGAGAGCGAGAGAGAGAGAGCGATATATTAGTAGATAGAGCAATCACTGCACACGCGAGGTAGGGAAACGAAGAGAGCGTCGCAAAATAGGGAAAAAAAAGGAAGAGAGAAAGAGAAAAAAGATGAAAATCGTAGGGCATGAAAAAAAGAACTGCTCGATGGGCATGCAGAAAACCGTTGTCTCGCTACTTTTTTGTGCGCAGCACCGTTCACCGAATCCCTTAATCACACCACGCAGACAAGAAAAAAAAAACATGGAAACACGTATGCACACGTATGCACACACACACACACACACACATAACACAACAACCCCGAAGAAGCTTCTAGTAGTGAGACCACTCTGTGTATTTATTGTATTCGAGGACAAAGTCATTCCCTCCCATTTTTACGTACCGTGTACACGCAGCAGAGACATACACATACACACACACACACACAGATACACGAGAACACGCGCAGCACACGCTCCCTCGACTCGTTTTTTGACCCTTGAAATCCTTCTTGCTGTCATTTATGCTACACACATACACAATACCTTTGAAACGAACACCCCCTTGTTTCCTTCCTGCAGCAGATTAGCCAGATCCCCGCTTAGAGAGCCATCCAGAGAGCCTTGTGAACAGTTGTCATCCGAATCGTTGTAGCCTTAAGCCAAAACTGTGTGTATCGCACACATTAAACTATGCGGTATCGCAGTGTGGCGCAGCAATTTTTTCCGCTATTCTTCGACAGATCGAACTCTTGTCTCTTCAGCAAATCCCCTCTCCGTTTGTCCAACTCTCCGTATAATTGCCCATTATTACGTCCTTTACGTCCCAACACTTTTAACAAGAGTTATCCCGAAACCGTTTTCTCAGACCCGATCATCCCCCCTTGTGAGTCCTCAATATGAGCCCTGGATATGTCCCCCGCAAGCGAACTAGCGTTGATATTCGTAATACTTGTTATGCATAAACTACACATAATGATTATTATAGTAAACGATACATAAAGTATGATATATTTCTCTATCCATTAAGAAAAAAAAAAGGAAGATGCAAGTAGCTGTTGTTTCTTGGTGGAAACAAGATGAGAAACAAAGTGCAAGGCAGAGCGCAACAACAACAAAGAGTATAGGGAGAGAAAAAAAAAACGTAAAAAAAAAAAAAAATAATAAATGCGTAATAATAAATGAATAATATGAATGGTGGAATGAATAATAAAGATAAAAATAAAAAAATAAAATAAAATTGTACGGAAAGAAATAAACGAGCATACCGAAAGTGTACTGTATTACAATTGCAAGAATACAAACGCAGCCCCGCATATTGCCCAGTGAGCACGTCGTTTTGTACGCTTGGGAGTTGTGAGGTCGTCTGAATAAACATTGTCTGGTGAATTATACAGAAAACAACTTGTCTCTTATTTATGCGTTTTCCCACCGAAAA